GTTCTCTAGGAGAATGGCGTCGCGATGGAACCTACGAGAGGTTGACCCCACACACGCCTCCTGCCTTGGAAAACTAGGCGGCAAAGGTTGTAGTTGCGCACGTGTGTCCGTGTAGATAAGCGATACCGATATAGCGGCCCCGGGCAGTGAATGCGCTGTGCGAGATTGTCGATGGAGGCAGCGGGAAGATTTGTGCAGTAGTCATCCGGGAAGAAAATAAATACGTTAACGTTTGGTGTGCGCAAATCGGATGGAAGAAGATGTTTGCTCCTTTGTTGAGGGCGCAACAGCCCGTGTGATGTGTTGCCCCCCGACGCTTGACGTCTGTGTCTTGCCCGTGCGTGCGCAGTTTTGTTTATATCTAAGGTACGGCAAAGGTATTGTGCCTTATAGAAGCGCAGTTGTTGTGTGTGTTGAGTTCAGGAGTGACAGAACTATCATAGAGCTGATTTTGTACCCGTGTTGAATGTAGAACGAGATTTTAAGAGAATGTCGACCCACGTGCTCACGCCATGTGTTGTGAAAGGGCAAAAAAAAATGGTTGGGGCCATAGCAGTGCTGGGCATTGTCTACACATTGCCTACACAACAATAGAAATTGTCGTTTTGATGTTGATTTTCCCCAGAAGCTTGTGCTCACGCCAGGTGTTGTGAAAGGGTAAAAAAAAATGGTTGGGGCCATTGCAGTGCTGGGCATTGTCTACACATTGCCTACACAACAATAGAAATTGTCGTGTTGATGTTGATTTTCCCCAGAAGCTTGTGCTCACGCCAGGTGTTGTGAAAGGGCAAAAAAAAATGGTTGGGGCCATATGAGGCACTGGGCATAGGCTACACAACAAGCGTAATTTTTCATGTTGATAGTGAGAAGCTTTTCTGTAGGTATGATTTTGTTCGATGGACCTGACTTCGGTGACGCGTGATGAAAACATTACCCATGCGGAGTAGGGTTCAATCGCCACAAGCGACAAGCTTTCTTTCGTGATTTTTGGCCGACTGTTCGGGTGCAGTATTTGGCTCTTGCGTGTTTTGTTTTTGCGGTGTGCCTTTTTTCCTCGTTCGTTGCTCTCGACTAGACTACTTTCGATGATCCATTTTCTTGAATTTCACGAGCATTGGCACGCCGCTGTGATGTGGCTGGACGGCTAGACGACCGTTGGCCAGGGTGTTGCTGTAGCGTTACGCGTTCGCAAGATAAGACCATCGACAAAAGAGATACTTCTTGTCAAGGCACCTTACGTGCCAAGGGAGTCAGTCAGTTCTAAACAGCTCTAACAATAAAAAAGGCTGTCCATCCTGGTGTCACACACATTCTTTAAGACTTTCCATGTTGCGGGTCTCACACACAAGACTCCATATTTTGGGAGCTATGTAGAAGACCAGGCGTTGCAACTCCCCTGTGTGCCTCGCACGAGCGAGGTTACAGATGGCTTGCTGGCTGGAAGAGCGCGTGGCTTGAACGTGCTCAAAAGGCCTCACGGCGTGCTGCTGGTGGGTGTTGTCGTTGCCCTTTGCCTTACAGTCGTTGTTGTTTCTCGCATCGGAACCTTAACGGCTGCGAAGCAGAAAATACATCTACCCAAAGGGTCACGTCAGCCGCAACGTCTGCCTGGAACGGCGTCTGCCTGGAACGGAGTGTAACATGCTGCCAATTATTTCCTGAGTTTTTTGCAACCACACGAACGCGGTCCCGCCGCCAACATCACATCTATTTCACGCCTGTTTACATCTCGAGACAAGATTTTTTTGTCATCCTTAACCACAACGACACGAATCACACCGAAGAACATCGGACGCTGTCACCACCTCCCGTAGCGCTCACCATCAACAAGCTTAGAGCTTAACTTACGAGGACAACAGAAGCGGGCTTCAGATTCCGCCGGGGGCGATCCTGGGCCTGCATACAACTTCACACACAAAGCTTCGAGCACTTCACACACACACATTTCTTTCACCCGGAGAATAGCTTAGCTTCCCCCGTGCCGCCCCCTCACGGGGTCCCAGTTCATGGCATTTAGAAGTGTTTTGTGTTTTCAACCGCACTGAGACTGACGCCTTTTCATTGGTCAGCCGGTTATCGCGGTCGATGCTAATAATAAAAACACAATTTGTAACAAAGACGGGCACAGGACATCTCTAGCAGGAAGCCATTGCGTATGATCCGGGGGGCATTCATCCGTGGTCTTTTCAAAGCCATACCACGAAAAAGTGTACCCCCTTTTTGGGTAATAGTTGGCTTGTGACCACGGAAGGTGTCCGCATCAGTTGGACCGGTACGCATATTAGTCTAGAAGGTATTGAGCGGAGACCGGAACAACATCTAACGTAAAAACAATAACAACAACAACAACAGGGGACGGCAATAATCCCGCCGCCGCCCCAATAAATAATTAAATAATTCTACCGACCACCACCGACGGCGGCAAGCCGGAGGCGCAAGGCATCTATCGTCGCCCGCTGCCGGCGGACAACGTCGCTCAAGGACTCCTCGACGGTGGAATCGTCGCTTGGAACCTCGTTCAAACCGGGGTGCTACATACCGCAGGGAGGGAAGAGGACACGATGGAGCACAATAGACCGGAGTTCGGGGGGGGGGGGGGGGGGAAAGACACCCAAAGATTTTGGGCTTTGGGGGGGGGGGGGCCCAACGGGGTTCCCCAAACCCAAAAATTTTGGTTTCCAAAAAGGAACCCCCCCCAAAAAACCCCCCCGGGGGGGGGGGAAAAATTTTTTTTTTTTTTTTCGGGGAAAAGGGTTAAAAAAACCTTTTCCCCTTTTCCCAAAAAGGGGGAAAAAAAAAATTTAAAGCTTTTTTGGTAAAACGGGGAAACAAAAAATTTTTTAAGGGAAAAAGGGGGGAAAAAAAATTTATCTTTTTAAGGGGAAAAAAAAAAAGGGGGCCCCAAAA